AGGTACATTTTTTAACTTTCTGGAAGATAAATCAAAAACTAATTAGACTAAGAAGATTTAGCGTATAATTCAGAGTAAGCGATTGCGGCAGGGTGGTGATGTGCATATGCGGGTTGTAGGAGAGCCTATCAGATCAGTGCACAGAGTGGGGAACTCGCACGCAGACCTGGCTGGAGTCCGTAGGGAAGCATCCGAGAGAAGGCCTGACCAACCGTTGAGCTAGCTCGATAGACACACACTTAATCCCTGTCGGACGCTGCCGAGGAAGCCTGCCGCCCCACCCGGACGTCCAGACCTCACTGGCGGCTGGCGGCAGACGAACACTGTCCTTCCGGGGAAGGAGGCATATGCACAGCAGAGGCAGGTCACTTAAAGGGGCTATGAAACCATTTGCACCAGAGAGCATTTTTCTTTTTTCCCTGTGCTTGGAAACCTTTTTCCCTTCTTGATATTTATCACCTCTGATGGCTGAAGAATGTAGACAGGTATAATGACCCTGCTTTTCACCAAAATTTGTACACCGAGGTAAACAGGTGTTTGCCTTATTTGTTTTAAGTTTTTACTTTGAGTTCTACGTGAATTCGCTTTTTCTCGGATGTTAAATCTTTGAATGTCCTTTTATGATTTTGTTTATATTGCAGTAGTATTTATTTCTTAGTGAAGAAAACTGTGTGTCATGTTAGCAAATGCAGCGCCAGCTTACATGAAATAGACTCACTGCAGTTTATTTGGACCCGTGTGCAAGGATGTACACGCCAATGAGAGGCATGCACTTTTTCTCCTATGTGACAAAATCGGACGAGGCTCTGAAATTGTACATCTTGGTTAGAATTTGGCTTTGGGAGAAGAGATGCTGTCATTTAACCCCTTGGTGCTGAAAGTGAGAAAAATCCCCAACTCTCCAAGCCGAGGGGTTAATGAGACAGAAGGATGTCGGTGTTGCTCATTCGAGGATGGAAAGGCTCTGACGCCTGGCGACGTAACGCGGGGGAGGAAACCGAGACCCGCGTGACCGTGAGAAACCAACTTGGCAAAAGGAACGCATCTCGAGTATTTACAAAGTAGGCAGTAAGGGGTGAGAACCTGGTGTGTTTATTCCGCTCATGGTACATTTATCACTGAATTAAGCCATCAGGGAAAACACAAAACAACACAAAAAAAGAACACCTCCAACTTTTCTTTTTCTGTATATACTCATGTCCCCCAATTCCAACATTTCTCACTGAGAGGGGACATGTATGCAAACCTCATCTTTCTCCTTCATTAATGATGATCTTCAGATTAAACCCTTTGGTGCTAGGAGCTGACATTTTCCAAAGCAGCCTATGAAGTCCAGGGGCCGGGGGCCCTGTTGTGGAAGCTGGCAGCCGGCCCCACGGAGCGTTCGTGGGGATGGATCGGTCACGTGATCTGACAGCTCCCCGTGGAAGACTGCGGCATGACGTGCTGTCACTGTCGAGATGCGTTGTGCGCAAGAGCGAGTGACTTTCTGAGTAGGATGAATCATATTCATACGCAGATGTCTTAGCCTCGTGACGCTGGAAGTGTGGTCTGTACAGGAGACGCCACTGCTGGCGGTGGGCGGGCCACTGGGGCTGAGGGGGTTAAAGGGCATTTTACTAAGGCAGCTAAGACATATTCAGACATAGGTTTTATCCTAATTTTTCATATTTCTACCTGAGTGAAGTTCATCCTCAGCATCGAGTAGGAAGTTACAGGAAATGGTAGTTCATTCCTTCTGACACATGTAGCTTCACTTTTTTGTTTTTTCTTCCCTTGGAATTATGTTGAATGTTTCACTTTGATAGAAAGTAGACTAGGAGGTATGTCCTGTAAGTTGTCTCGCATCCATTATATACAAGAGGAACAGGGAGAGGCAGAGAAGGCGGCTGAGGCTGGCTGAGGTTTGTGCGGAGCGTCCGTCCCTTTCGAGGAAAAGGGGGGCCCGTACACTAAGCACTTCGATAGCTTCCCCCCCCCCCCAAACCTTAAGGTGATTTCCATGACCCTGGCCAAGGACACTTCCTAAAGGTTAAGGACCGCGTGGACGGTGCCCCGGGCTGGCCAAGCCTCCCAGCCAGCTCTCCAGGCCCAGTCACTCTCGGCCTCGAGATCCGTCAGAGGCACCGAGGTGTTTCCAGACTTCCCCCTCCCCCGCTCTCACCCCCAGGTCTCAATCAGCTGGCACCGAGGACCGACAGGTAACACGTGTGTGTAGAGGGAGATTTCTGGAGATTTCTGCACCTGCCCTCGAGGCTGCCCGTAGCTGTGGCATGGGCCGCCGGCAGATGGCAAGGCCTGAAACCCAGGATCGTTCTATCAGAGTTCGGTTCAGACTTTGTGGACTCCACCCCGTACTAACTCTCGTGAAGTCTGCCCTCTTGTCTCAGTGCAGCCACCTGGGAGGAAGTTGGCCATTTCTGCTTGGATTTCTGGCAGGTTGCTCACAGCTTTGCTTTCTACACTAATTACATAGCATTATTCCAGTATTTTCCATTTTCCCGTACCTGATTTCCGGCTTCTTAAAGCTGACTGTTCTTGCAGGGGCCCCTTGCTTCTTCTCCTAGAGTACAAAGGTAAGGGCCTCCCTTACTAACTGCAGGGTCTCTGTATTACACCTCAACGTACACACTTTGCTGCTACTGTTTGTACTGTCTACAGTAGAATTTCCTTATCTTGCTCCTGGTAGTGCATTACAGGCAAGCATGAAATGTAAAGTATTTATTTAAATAAAAAGAAAACCTCTAAATTGGTAATTGAATTACCTCCCTGTAGCTTTATAGTTTGTGACATTTCTTGACCTTGCTAGTTCTTTCATTAGATCCGCGCAAGATCTAGTCATCTGGTTAAGGATTTTAAGCAGACGCAACTATGAACCCAAGAAACTGTATTACTCTTACTGTTGGTCATACTAAAACTAAAACTGTTCATTTCCTTAAGTATATGACCCACAAGGATGTGAAATAACTACAAGAAACTGTTTTTGTACACTGTACATCCTTAGTATTTTTACACGTATATGATAGGGATGCACATTATTTTCCTTCGTACAGACAGCTTAAATAAAGCACTATGTCAATCTGCTACTTCTCTGTTTATTGTTGTTGGACGTGGTTCTGTAATCTCAGAAAATCTTTTCTGGAAAACAAAGAGATTTTTAATAGCTCCAGCTGGTATTAACCTACCCTACATAAAATGTGACAGGAAAATACAGCAGTTTCTTGTAGCCCCGAACGCACACACAGGATTATGTTGTTACTTCAGTGACGTGGCAGTAGCGTGGTCGTGCAGACTCGGACGAAGGGCCGCCTCCGAAGGGGAGACGCCGACCGCGCCGCAGTGGGTTCGGGGCAGGTCTCCCATGAAGTCAGGGACGGACCGGGTCTCCTTGGAAATGTGTTCAGTCAGGACCTAACAGTCTTCACAGCAGATGGTCTGGACCCGGAACTCTCTTGAGGAGCGTCGCTCGTCGGTGACGTCTTCCTGAGAATGCGGAACGCGTTGCTCCGCACACTTCCCTTCTGGGAGCGTGTGTCGGCAGGTTAACCACCTCTGTCGTGGCTGCTAGACGGGTAGGGCGGTTGTACCACAGTCTGATTACCTGGAAGCATTTTGGATGGGGCCTTTTTCCGATTTTACCTCATACGCCTGCTATCGTAGAAACTTGGCTTGGCTTCTGGGACTAAGCTCAGTAGAGGAACGGCTTTGGGACCAAAGTGAGTCAGGCGTGCGTGTGTGTGTCACACAGCCAAACCTGAGGGCAGGCTTCCACGTGCTCTTCTCAAAACCACTGGGATTCACACATCCAGGAGGCTAAAATAAAGCGACCTCTTACAATTCTTTAAAGGTGCTATTTTTAGAATTGTGTCATTTATTTACTGTAGTCCTAACACAGAATTAGGGACAATTAACATTCCTTCTGCAACACCCTTTATGTCTAGCACATTTGAGGAGATCGAAAACTGGATCCGAGTAGACGTTCTGCTCTTTCAGGCTTGAACTCGTCCGTGCTCGAGAGACTTTTGAACGGTCTTTGCGTGTGTATCATTTCCCCACCTCCAACGCTGAACCCCCCCCCCCATCCGTCCTGAGAGGCACGGGTGGGGGACGCTGAGGGCGAGGGCGAGGGTGCTGGGTTGCCAGCCGGGAGAGCGGCCTGAGGTCAGGGCCCTGTCCTGCCTGCAGCCTGTGGTGTATCCTTGTCCTCCTCAGAGACAACCCAGCATCTTCAGCGCCCATTTTTATTACTTTCCAGCATTTGAGGGCTCACCTGTGTATCGTAGAAATACTATTTGAAGCTAAAACAATGATCTGTTTACAGACATCTGATAGAACTCCAAGTCAATTGTGTCACTTCAGGAAGTACATTGTCAGGCTCCTCTCAAACCGCACACTGAAGAAGAAACCCAAACCGCCGGGCCGAAGACGCGTCCTTGTCTGTTTTTGTTGTTGACGGAGCGGACAGGAGAACAGCGCTTCCTGGCGTCTCCTGACTGCGCACAGATTAGCAGGATGGTAAACGATGGAGCCTTACAAGATGTTGATTCAGAGCGTTAAGAAGTGGAAGGACGGTGTCTAGCTCATGAAGAGGGAGAGAAACACGAGTGGCAGGAAGAAAGTCTGGTCCTTAATGCCCTTTGGCCTAGTTAAAATATGTGCCTTTTTGGTGTGTTTCGTTCATCACTACAAGGTAAAAAGGAAACGCTTCAATTCAGGTCTTTAAAAAAGTTCATTTATTGAAATTCACATGTGTAACAGGATACAAATGAGCAGATTTATCAGAACACAGTTAACTTCAAGCCATTTCTGCAAACATAACTGCAGGAGGTCTCCTGGTCCGGCGCGGGGCCTGGCCGCACGGGCACCGCTGGGCAGTAGACGCGGCTGACCTGGCCGCCTGCTGCCGTCCGGGGCGCCGGCCACCGGGAAGGTCGTGGTGCTCTGTGGCATCTCACGAACAAATCAGATGAATGTAAATATCTCTTTGTAAACCATTTATTTCACTCTGTTTCATCCAGGTCAGCAATCAGATTGTGGCATGCTGGGTAACTGGAAAAAAAATGACAATAAAAAGTAAGTTTAAATAGATCACGTTCTTCACTGTGATTTGTCTTCTCGCTGGTGCAGGTGCCTCTTCTAAGGAGGAAGACATTCTTTTGCTAAAAATAGAGAAATTGTACGTGACCAACTGCACGAAAATCTTGTTACTCCCCCTGACCTTGGATCACAGCCCCTGTCAGACAGGAACTGAAGGGAACCCATTTCGTTTTACGGCCTTAAATCTGAACACATCTGTACTGCAGGCATCGGTCTGTCTTGGGAGTAAGGCAGTCCGATGACGGGACGTGGCTGGAGGGCCACCACTTCTCTGCCCAGGAAAGGAGACCCTGATTCATGCCAGAATCTGTGTACTGAGAACTGCTCAGACATTACAGCTGGTAAAGCAGAACAAAAAACAGGATGTAGGCCGAGTGTCCCTAAGAAATTCCTAGTGAACTCAAAACGAGCTAAAACCTCCAAATTTCCAGCTGCAGACAATTTATTATCACGCACACACCCGCTTTTTCCCCCGTGGAAACCACCTCCCACGCACTGGAAGAGGGAATTCGGTGTATCTGGCCTTAGTTTTGAGCAGGAATAAATGTTTCAAAGCTAGCTCCTGAAAATAGGGTTGAGAGAGGCACAAGTTAGGGACGCGGAGAAGCCTCTCGTCTGCCCTGGTCGGCGACGGGGCCGCTCAGGTTAGCTTAAACCATGTCCGGAAGTGGTGCCAGAAACCACTGCAGATGGTTCCGCTCCACAGAACAGGGCACACCCACCCTGCACCACGTGGGAAGATGAGTTAGGCAGTCCTTGACCTCGAGGAGTGAGGTCCCTAGGAGGGCAGGCAGTCTGGTCTGTGTGGCTGGAAACCATCTTCCAGAAAAAGACAGACCCATGGGCCTCAGGCTCTGCACGCCCTCTGCACTCTCACATTTCCTGAGCTAGAATCAGGGTGGTGGGGGGGGCTCCTGGGAACCCAGTTTCGGTCACAATTACTCGAGGGTTTCCGAGACAGGACAGTGAGTGAAAGACCACAATTCACGCATGACAAATAGGAAAATCCGCCTGTCGCCTCTTTCAAAAAATGCAAAAAGGTAATGTGTACGTGTCAGGTAGGTTTCTCAGCATGTGTGACACTGATGATGCCTTTCTAGGGAGCAAGTCTATGAGGAGACGGGGAATTAGAATGTCACATGTGCGGCCCACCTGGCTCTGTACACAGGGCGGGGGCCGCGGCATGGTGAGGAAGCACTCAGTATGTGTGTGCAGCCTTCGGTGGGGGGTTGGGGCTAAGGGGCCCTCTTCCTTAGGGCCCCGGGGGGCTTCTGGGCTCTCCAGAGCAGGCCAGCAGGAGTCCACTGCCCCAGAGCCCTTGCAGAAAGGGCTCCTTTCCACCCCCAGCGACACACTCAGCCCGGGGGCTGCCACCAACTCAGTGGACCATCACGCGGGGTCTCCATCCAGACCTGATGTCCAGTCTGGACGGAGCTGACCTGGTGTGGCACCACCCAGGGACTGCGGGCTGCGGGCCGGGCGCTTCCTAACTTCAGAGACTCCAGGAACGTCTCTGAGTGCAAGGGTAAGCAGAAACCACGACAGGCATATCGTAAATGGAGCGGAACTTGGGGTAGAAGACACACGCCCGCGACACGCACAGTAGAGTAGCAGTTAAGACCTGAAGTAGAAAGGAAAGGTGTCGCGGGGATTTTTTTAAACCAAGCTCCAGGAAACTGGCACCTCTCGTTATGAGTCTTCTTAGTGCCTGTGCCCCAGGCCCATCTAGTAACTTCCTGCCCGACTCATCCCCTCTTGGCACTCAGGCCTCTGCCTGGGAACCGGCCACCATGGCCCCGTGGGGCCCTGTTGGAGCAGATGTGAGGTCCCCGACGTGAACGGTCTCTCTCCCTGGAGCAAATCGCCTGTCACTATTTCTCCGCTGGTTTGGTATTTTATTTGGTCCTGATGCAAAGCCTGTCCTGACTTTCCCATTATGGTGCTTGCCTTTCACTCTCCATCCCCAGTGCCCACGGCTGCCCTGCCCATGGCAAGCATTCAGTAAATATCAGAATGACTAATTCAGCCGATGACATCACCATTCAGTCTCTAATTCCCCACTCAAGTGTCACCCTCAGTTTGCTGGATCTTCAGTAAAGAACAGTTCTCGGTACCCCCCCCATCCCGCGGCATGTCCAGAGATCGAGAAGCATTAGTTACTGCCCAAATCCTGCTCGTCTGCCATCACCTCCTAGGGAGATTAGCCTTGCTGACTTCCAGAAAGCTGGGTCCGTGGTCCTCACCACCACGATCCGGGTCTGGCTGTAAGGGACAATGAGGATGCACATGCCCGTGGGACATTAGCTGGCTCCAACTGTGGCTTGAGCCCTCAGCCACCTTCTCCCAGACCTCTGCCTCTCAACTTGTCACCAAGGCCCCTTGCCGTGGCATGCCTGGGCGGTGTGGTCACATCAGCCGTGTCCATGGCTGCCCTCCAAGACAGAGGAAGGCCCACAGGGTACCCTGGCACCTGCTCTTCTAGAACACTCTCCACAGATGACATAAACGCTCCCCCCTCCCCCGTCTACATGCCTGCTACTGCTAGCCCATTTCCTTTGTTCTCATTTTAAATCCTACGAGAGCCTTCTCTCCATAAACCCTGACCTTTGTGTTTATTTCTGAAGTTTTGACTTTAAAAAATGAGTCTCTCTCTGGGTGACTTGAATTGTTCCCCAGGCAACCACGCCGTGGGGTTGAGCAGAGCCTTTTCTGCCGCCTTGTTCCCAAGCCTGTGACCCGGGAAGCACACAGCCCACCTCATCCCTGCTCACAGAACGTGCCTGCTCAGCCTCAGCCCGACCCAACTTTCCCTCTGCATCCCTTCTCTGCGGACTCCACCTCTCACTAGTGCCCCCCCCCCAACTAGCCTCACTCATTTTCACATTTTCTGTGTCAGTGTGGCCAGGTCAAAAAACCGGGGAGCCTGGGTGGCTCAAGTCGGATAAGTGTCCGACTTGGGTTCAGGTCGTGATCTGACGGTTCGTGAGTTCGAGCCCCGCATCGGACTGCCTGTCAGCACAGAGCCAACTTCAGACCCTCTGTCCCTCTCTTTCCCCGCCCCTGCTCTCTCTCAAAAATACACATTTAAAAAAAAAAAAAAAAAAAAAGTCCTGTTTCTTGTGCCTCTGGCAAGAAAGCATCTATTTTTAGCCAGAGAGAGGAGAGTCCCTTCCCCACCTCTAGCTGGGGGCATTTTAGAGCCTTGTCCTGAGGTCCAGAGAAGCCACCAGTACCTACTGCTGGAGAGCCAGGGCCCGACTGCAGGCTCTGCCCCGGGAGAGTCGGATGGACACCCACCCCCTCCATGCAACCTGCGGCCCAGGGCCTGAATACCACTTTCTCCAGAAGTTTTTTCCCTGCTGTTCACTTCCCAGTTCCGTGCACTTCATCTCTCTGGGCCTGATTTTTCTGTCTGGACAGAAAGGATGCCGAATGATTGATCCAGTGGCCCTGTCTTGCCAACCGTGATCTCTGCCAACCCGGCCGGCTTCACGGTCACCTGTGTGGGAGCCGGGTGATGGGGGGGCTGCCTCTTCAAGGGAAGCTGGTTCTGTTATTAAGGTTTTCTGTTTGTTTTTTGGTTTTGGTTTTGCTTTTGAGCAGGACCCGAGTGATATGAAAGCTAAACATTTTACCCCAAGTGGTACAGAGCTGAGATTTGAACCTCGGCAGCTGGACCTCGAAGTCCAGGCCTGTTAATGCTCTTGTGACCTGCCCAGCGAAGCAGCACAGAAGCCACCAGGTGTGCTGTGTGTGGGATCAAGTAGAAGTCAGATCTGGGAGGCCAGCTGGCACTCACAAGCCACGTGAGCTGTGGGAGGCCACCGATCTGCTCAGGAGGAGGTGCCCTCACCAGTCCTCCGCAGAACGTCGTGGAACGTGGCCGGGAGGGCCACAGAGGCGAGCCTTCCCCGAACCCACGGGGCCCTCGATGGACTGCCTCCAGCTCAGCAGAGTCCAGCAAAGTGACCCCAACCCTGCCTCGTCCCCCGGCTCCGGCACCCCAGAGCCCGGTGGTCGGCAGCTGCAAAGCCGGGTCGCCCGCACACCAGGCAGTCCGCCGAGCCCCTGACAATGACAGGCCTGTGCAGGCAGAGGTCAGAGTCACGGCTTCCCTAGACCACCGGCCTGGCTCTCTGCCTCTGGGCCCCGCAGAGGGAAGGGGCTGTAGAAGCCAGAGAAAGGAAAAGGTAGAGGCAGGAAGACCTTCCTTGCAGAATGGAGGTGGGCCGAGGAGGAATCCTTGGCTTTCCGGAAAACAGCATCTCAAGCTGGGCCTGGGACGCGTGGCATGGCGGGGTGGGGAACCGGGGAGCCCGGTGCGTTGGCCGCAGGGGTCAGACTGCCAGGACGCCCCTCCCCTCTCCAGAGCTCCGACGACACAGGAGTCCCATGCCTCGTGCCGTCCGACTTTGTCATCTTCCAGCTTCCTGGAATCCCGCAAGTCATGAGAACTTTCTTTGCACATGGGCAGGTGTCTGTGTTTTATAGGAACCATGTTTCCATGGTAAATAGACTTTAAGAATTCCCAAAGGACAGACAGTGTCACCAACAGCAGAGAGTGGAGCCTCTGGCTGCCTCGTGTTTGAAAGCGTTAGAAATAAAGACAACACTGACATTTGGGGTTGTAATGTGACGGAATTGCAGTCTTTTAAAGGCAAGAACCACTTCTCTCCGCTCCATGTAATATTCAGTGTTTTGTTCACTTGTCTGATTGGATTAAAATATTTAGCTCCCTTTAAAATCTTGATTGTGAATTTCTATCGCAAAATGTACTGACTCAGGAAGCGATAAGTGGAGCAAGTGTGTCTGCAGCAGCAGAAAATTCGATTTATTTTTCTTCCATGCGTCCTACTCCGACATTCACTCATGGACAAAGTGAGCTGTTAACGGAATAGCAGGTCTGTCTTCAGTGAAGCCTTATGTGCTTTTCAACATTAATCACACGTGGGCCTTCAGTGAAAAACAAGAATAAAAAACAAAAAAACAAAACGGAAGTTAAACTCGGTGATTTGAGTTGCTTGGGGAAGTTTCCCCGAGGGTCGCAAGACCCGTATGTCAGAAACAGACACCGGGGTCTCGTGTCACTCTTGAAAAACACTCAGGCAGCAGGGAGTTAATGACATTTTAGCTGCATATGTTCAAGTGTATTTAAAAAAATATGCAAGTCACTTTGGTTGACAGTGTCTTGTACACAGTTTTGAAAGAATCAGGGCAAACTTTAACAGAGTCAGTTTTTATTTGAAAAATATTTTCTGGGAATGTATCAGTGTTTATTTTTGAGACTGACAATTCGGGTGAAAATCAGGATAAAAACAAAAAAACAACAATTTGGTTGAAATCAAATTGTTTGTTTTCATCTATTTAGAATTCTTTCCAAAAAAATCTTGGTTCAGGAGGAGGCTTTTTTAATTTATTTTATTCAGTGTATTTGCTGTTCTATCCAGGCACCATCTGTCCTGCAGGTAGCTAACTCCAGGAAGACACCCACGTGAGCCGGGCGAAGCCCCCAGGACTGGGGAAGGACCCCCGCCATCCCACACACACCCTCCGGGTCCCATCCTGGGCAAGCCGCGGGCACCCCCTCCTCAGCTGGACCCCAGCCTGGCAGCCCTGGGCCATGCTGACATTTCTGAGGCCATCCTGCCCTTGCCACAGGTCAACAAAGGGGCCTCACCCTGCCCCTCATCTGGGTTCAGCCCTCTTGCTTGGGTCCTTTGGTGGAACGAGATAATGTCCATGATTCTGAATATAACCACATATGGCTGCTAGATCCGTGCACAAGTTCGAATCAGAGTAGAAAGTCAATTCACTGCCAAGAATACTCCAAAGTCACAGGGCCAACTGATTAATCACCGATAAGTCAGTCTCAGGATGCGTCCTGCGCACAAGCGCCTCAACTGCAGGGACGAAAGGGAGCCCCCTGAGCACTGAGGATGGAGCCCTACAGGTCGTGCATGGCAAAGGTGGCAGGGACCAGAAAACACAAATCTGCTGAACCCCGAGTTGTTGCCCAATGAGTATATAAACAAACTCCTGGCGTATAAAACCATCCTCTAAATGGACAATCCTCCCCAAGAAAAGACTCTGATCTTCTCACTAGCTGGCATCT